CGCGGCTCTCGCACAGTAAGCGTCTCCAGTTAATGTTTATTTTGGCTGTAATTTATTTATTCCAATTATGTCTTTCGTGTTTCATTATTTACTTGCTCGTTTTTCTCAAGTGCTCTATAGTGTTCACTTTCTTTATGAGAAAGAGAGGGGTTGTTGCCGGCCCCACGGATTCAGGCAATCCGTTCATGAGCGCCTCCAGTGAATCCGGATTGGCAGTGTTATTGTTTACAAGTACTCGGTGGGCCTCTCAATAGCGCCAGTGTTCCCCAGTGCTTGAAACATCGCCCGTGCTTGTGCCTTTGTGGTTTATTCCAACAGACTTTCTTCAAATGTTTGCCTCAAGGGAAACAGGTTTTAAGAAAGTCTAGTGATTCTGTAAAATTTAAGTGCCTTTACCTGGATTAGTGTGATTCAGTAACTACCACTTTCCAGAGGAGACGTGACTACATGACGGCGCTAGTCATCTCCCCAGTCCAGCGACAGAGACGACTCCGTTTCTTTTGGAGGTACAGCTCTCCCCGGCGGCTCCGACGAGGGTCCCCCCGGCAGCAAGGACCCAGAAGATAGACCCTCGTCTACCTCCAAAGTCTAGGATAGCTTCCACCTCTCCCTCAGATGGCTGCAGAATCAAGATGAGCCTCTGTTATATCTGTCCACCTACTCACGTGGAGGAGCTGCCATAACTAGTGCAGTACCTCCTCTACAGTACTATAACCACTTCACCAGAGATTACAATCGCTGGTAAAATGGTTACAGTACCCGCGCCATGATCCAGGAAATATATAAAGGCTTCGTACGGGGGTCACGTATTTGCTTGATACTAGAACAGAAATTACGTCACCAGTCTCGAGAGGTTTGGAATAACAATTATAATTGATAATTTAAGCACTCTAACAAGTCAAAATAATAGTTTTTAACGAGAGTTATAATTTAATACCTTGTCATATCGGTGCTCAGGTGGACATATTCATTCGTTCATAACTGAAGTCACCAGTGTGATGTTAGAAGGGTGAGGGTAATTACAGTAACTTCTTTACGTATGAACATTGTTGTTACACCTTTTAAAGGTGTGAGGAGAGTTCTAGAAGTTTCTATAAGTGTGAGAATAGTTGCTGCATCTTCTAGGTGTGTGATAATTGTTGCATCAGTTTCTAGAAGTGTGAACATTGTTATTACAGCTTCTGGAAAGTGAGAATAGTTTCAGAAGTTTCTAAAAGAGTGAGAATAGTTAAAAAAATGTCTAGAGGTGCAAGAATAGTTCCTGAAGTTTCTAGAAGTGTGAGAATAATTCCAGAGGTTTCTAGAATATGAGAATTGTTGTAGCCGTTTCTAGAAGTGTGAGAATAATTCCAGAGGTTTCTAGAATATGAGAATTGTTGTAGCCGTTTCTAGAAGTGTGAGAATAATTCCAGAGGTTTCTAGAATATGAGAATTGTTGTAGCCGTTTCTAGAAGTGTGAGAATAATTCCAGAGGTTTCTAGAATATGAGAATTGTTGTAGCCGTTTCTAGAAGTGTGAGAATAATTCCAGAGGTTTCTAGAATATGAGAATTGTTGTAGCCGTTTCTAGAAGTGTGAGAATTACTACAACAGCGTCTAGAAGCCAGTTGGATTAACTGAGGTACCTCAAGGCAAAGGTTATGCTGCCAGCACAGTCACCCATCCTGTTACTGCTCAGTTTCAACGGTGCTTAACCTGACCCATCGAACTAAGAATATTTTAAGGAGATTTCCTAAAACATCGCAGAATATTCACAATTTTTTTGTCTTTATTTAGTGTAATTTTTAGCAAACTTCTAATACGTTCATTTTGACGGGAATGTTTCGTAGATTAAAATTCTGATATGTATTTTATTTTATTTATTTTATGTTCTTCACGAATTAATTATACATTGTGACTTTTGATCATATTTTGTATCGCATCAGGAATATATATATACAATTTATATCTAAGCAGCATAAGGCATATATATATATATATATATATATATATATATATATATATATATATATATATATATATATATATATATATATATATATATACATCTGAATAGCATCAGGTGGGTATACATACAGCATACATCTGTATAGCATCAGGTGAGTATACATACAGCATACATCTGTATGCTTTATTATCCCAGGTCATCTTGTCAACTATTTCGTCGTATTTTGTACGGAATCTGCCAAGAGTGACAAGTCGAGAGAGTTGGGCCAGGATTCCATCAAGCCTTTCCGTCACCACTTACGACGAAATCTTTACATCTTTCCTTATTCATGGCGGCATTGTTTACATAAATAAAACACTTTATGAGCTCAGGAACTTCACTACTCAAGGTTATTATTGTTATATTCAACCTCGTATAGCGCTTCGCAGCTCATAAAATGTTAAATTAATGTTAACAAGGCCGGCAAGATTGAGGGAGAGACGAACAAGTTTTGTTGCTGGCTGCATAAATGCATTACTCAGAGTCTGATGGAGTGCTGTAGCCTTGGGATGCCCGGGTTTCAGACAATAAAGTCTGAGGTCCAGACTTTGGTGTCTGAATTGGTCCGTGTCTGTTTCTCCACAACAGACAATGATACAAGTGTCTGTGTCAGTTTCTCCACACCAGCCCATGATACAGGTGTCGCTGTGTTGGGTTCCTGTGGCCTCCAGTTTGATGAGAGCGTTTTCATGTTCGAACATCAAACACAGTCTTCTATACATTTCTTTATTAAACACGTTAATATACCTATCTTTATTAAACACGTTGCTATGCATTTCTTTATTAAACACACTGTTATACATTTCTTTATTAAACACATTGCTATTCCTATTTTTATTAAACACGTTGCTATACATTTCTTTATTAATCACACTGCATTTCTTTATTAAACATAACCCAATACATTTCTTTATTAACTATGTACACTACTATACATTTCTTAATTAAACATACTTATATACATTTCTTAATTAAACATACTGATATACATTTCTTGATTAAACAGACCTTTCTCCATTTCTCCATTAGACACAGACTACTGAACATTTCTCCATTAGACACAGACTACTGAACATTTCTCCATTAGACACAGACTACAGAACATTTCACCATTAGACACAGACTGCAGAACATTTCACCATTAGACACAGACTACAGAACATTTCTCCATTAAATTAAACACAGACTACAGAACATTTCTCCATTAGATACAGACTACTAAACATTTCTCCATTAAACACAGACTACTGAACATTTCTCCATTAAATTAAACACAGACTACAGAACATTTCTCCATTAGACACAGACTACAGAACATTTCTCCATTAAACACAGACTACTGAACATTTAATTATCGAACACATACTGATACTTCCCAACATTAGACATACTAGTATACTACCCAATACCATACACAGACTACTACTCCTTTACTGGTAAGTCAAACATTGTAAACATTGTAGTAACCATCTGCCAACAAGCTAGGATCACAAGGTTACATTCACTCACTGGTGTTTGCAGCTCCTCAATGTATATATATATATATATATATATATATATATATATATATATATATATATATATATATATATATATATATATATATATATATATATATATATATATATATATATATACTGTGTTTATAGTATACCTATATACATAGTTATTTTATCAAATCACCTCAGTTTTTGGGTCCACGTGAGCAACACAAACGCAAACAAGCCTGAATGGTCCCCAGGCATATATGCATCTGAAAACTCCACACCCCAGAAGTGACTCGAACCCATACTGCGTGGTAGCCTCGGCTACTATCATTTTTTGTACAGTCACTGATGGTCGAGTGGTTAAGAAACTAGGTACTCCATGGTGAATAGTACTCCTGGCTATCTGGGTTCGAATCCGTCTGGGGTGTGGAGTTTTCAGTTGTATATTGGCTTGAGGACCATTCAAGCTTGTTCGCATATATTATAATATATATATATATATATATATATATATATATATATATATATATATATATATATATATATATATATATATATATATATATGTTGTACCTAGTAGCCAGAACGCAATACTTGGCCTACTATGCAAGGTTCGATTTGCCTAATAAGCCAAGTTTTCCAGAATTTATATATTTTTAAATTTTTTTCATATGAAATGATAAAGCTATCCATTTCACTTTGTATGAGGTAATATTTTTATAATTTGAGTTAAAACTAATGTAGATATATGACCGAACTTAACCAGCCCTACCTAACCTATCCTAAGCTATCTTAACCTAACCTAATCTAACACAACTAGGTCAATAATTTATATTCTTAATATAATATAATAATAATAATTCAATTAAACTAATTGGAAACAATTTATTTGAAATAAAGAAAATCACTTGGCCTATTAGGCAAATCGGGCCTTGTATAGTAGGCCGAAAAGTGCGTTCTGGCTACTAGGTACGACATATATATATATATATATATATATATATATATATATATATATATATATATATATATATATATATATATATATATATATATATATATATATATATATATGTCGTACCTAGTAGCCAGAACGCACTTCACGGCCTACTATGCAAGGCCCGATTTGCTTAATAAGCCAAGTTTTCCTGAATTAATATATTTTCTCTAATTTTTTTCTTATGAAATGATAGAGCTACCCATTTCATTATGTATGAGGTCAATTTTTTTTTATTGGAGTTAAAATTAACGTAGATATATGACCGAACCTAACCAACCCTACCTAACCTAACTTAACCTATCTTTATAGGTTAGGTTAGGTTAGGTAGCAGAAATAGATAGGTTAGGTTAGGTTAGGTAGGTTAGGTAGTCGAAAAACAATTAATTCATGAAAACTTGGCTTATTAGGCAAATCGGGCCTTGCATAGTAGGCTGAGAAGTGCGTTCTGGCTACTAGGTACGACATATATATATATATATATATATATATATATATATATATATATATATATATATATATATATATATATATATATATATAAATGTATACTGACGTTACTCTACTCCTGAACTTCGTCCTTAACATCTCTGCAGAGGTTGATTGACCTTAATAACCCTACAAAGGTTGACAGGCCTTAATATCCCTCCACAGGTTAATAGATCTTAATAACTCTTCAAAGGTTGTCAGGTCTTATTATTTCTCCAGAGGATGATAGACCTTATAAACTTTTTAGAGGGTAATAGGCCTTAATAGCCCTCCAAAGATATCATTTACACCGCCTCACTGCCATTTGACTCACGGATTACAACAGCTGCAGCTAAAATGATACTCCGGATATGGAGTATCCGGTACTAATGGTACTCCGGATATTCATTATAATTGACTGCGAGACAAAAAGAGAAACCTGCTATGGGACGATTTTATAGAATATGTGAAAACAGACCAGTTTCCTGGGAGTTTGAATTTAACTAATATCCTTATGTTGAAAATAGTTGTCAGGTTGTTCTAACTAATTTTGTGTTTAATTTAAATTAGTCTCCGCCAAATTTCCTCATTTTTTTTGTAAACAATATCTCTAACGAAATATAGGTGCTTTTTATAGTTATTAAAATTTGCAAATAATAAACATTCTTCGCAGCTCATACTGTTTTCTTAATAAAGAGCTTATAATGTTCGTGAGGTGACTCTAAGAAATGTTGTTATTGCAAGACGCGGATAAGTTCTGAGTCGGTTCAAGAGGCAAGTCGATACCAGGCAAGATATTATCAGGTCCGGAGACTGGCAGGTTCCTTAACACTTCCTGTACTCTCAGCAGAAATGTACACGACCGTCGCGTCCTGAAGGGCCAGGGTGGGGAGCTCTCAGTCGTCAGACTTAATGAACCTGTCTGGTTAAGAGTACCCTGGGCTGAGGAGAGTGCACCTGTCTGGTTGAGAGTACCCTGGGCTGAGGAGAGTGCACCTGTCTGGTTGAGAGTACCCTGGGCTGAGGAGAGTGCACCTGTCTGGTTGAGAGTACCCTGGGCTGAGGAGAGTGCACTTGTCTGGTTGAGAGTACCCTGGGCTGAGGAGAGTGCACCTGTCTGGTTGAGAGTACCCTGGGCTGAGGAGAGTGCACCTGTCTGGTTGAGAGTACCCTGGGCTGAGGACAAGGATGAGTCCACCAGACTGAAGGTTGTCACCAGGTCTGTCATACCAAAGGTCATCGGCGTCTCTCTTCGTAGTTGTTCAGGAACACCTCGACTCAAGTGTAGCGAGGACTGTATGTTAGTTCCACCACCATAGCTTGTGTCTGGGGGTACTTGTGTCTCGTTGACTGACTGGCGACGTGAAGCACAATGGTCTCTTGTGTCTCTCAGCTCTTTCTTCCTCATCTCGCCGTGGGTCTCGTGGCTCTTGCTAGAAAGAAGACTTCCAGGAACACTATTGTCATTTCTACGTTCCAAGAATTCTGTCTCTGCTGAAAAATACGTCGTTATAGTTTCCAATCCAGTAGGCGGTTGGCCGACAGCTGGCACAGAGTAATTGTAATTTTCCGTCTCCAATTTGTTCGGTTCTTCACTTATATTCCGCTTCGTATTGTCTGTGATGAACGTGGGTGTCTGACTGAGAAATGGTGCAAAAATGTCAATCTTGTTTAGCGACAGAGTTTCCATTTTAACCTTATCGGGACTGTTCCATTTGTCTCCCGCGTCCTGACAGGGTGTTGGCGGAGGCACAAGATCCAAATCATTGGCCCTGAAGCTTTCGGGCACAGAGCTGACAGATGCTGCGAGGTTCTGGTCGTACTTCTCCAGGGCCTCGCTGCCGGAGCTGTCGAAGTCGTCCTCCACCATAACCCTGGCTAAGCTGTGTCCAGCAGAGGTACTGGTATCCGACAGAGTGCTGCTTCTAGATAGGGTGCTGGTCCTCGAAAGAGGGTTAGTTTCTGATAGGTTTTCAGTCTTCGACAGAGTGTTGTTCATCGACTGCGGGTTATTCCTCGCCAGGCTGATCTGAACGCCAACAGAGCAGAGGACAGCGGGATCGCGAGTAGCAGCACCTAAGCCAGTCTCATCGTCATGAAAGGAAGGTCTTGATGGTGCTGCTGTGGCTGGCAAATGAATCCTGTTGTTGTGGGTCTCTTTCAGATCTTCACCCGAGAGTGATAACTTGGATAGTCGTCTCTTTACATTCATAACAAGTTCACAGGAGTTGACTTGTCGTTCTTTAGTATCGTTTGCGCAGACTTGTATGTCGTTGAGGCTACGCTGTCGTGTCTTTAGTATTTTACCTTGATGCACAAAATCCTTAGCTGTATCTGAAGAAGGCTCGGACCTTAGTGTACTTAAAATGTCTACAGTTGTATTATGTAGTTTGATTATTTTGTTATGCGCAGAGTTTAGAAGCCGAGTGCTGTTTGACTTCGTATTATCAAGTTTATTGAACTTTATATGACTGTCTCTAGAAGGATCTTGGCTAGCCACACTGGCAGGCTTGGACGATAGCCTCGCTGATAAACTCTCACTAACCTCGTGTGATTGTTTCACGTCATTTACTATCATACCGTAGTTGCAAGGTGAAAGACCTTTCTTGTTATTTTCTTCGCCAGGATTAATGATATCGTTAGTCCCTCTGTTATTTTTGTCGAGCTTTGAAGACGAACAACCTATGTTACTAAAATTTTGAAAATATGTGCAAATTGGTTGTGTACCATTAGTGTTTAAAGGCGCTGGCTGGCTTGTATTTTCAGTCATCAGACATAGTGAATATTGAGAGTTGCTGCTAGTTTTCTGGACCGCTCCAAGAGACCCCATCGCCCGGTCTGCACATTCTCCCGTGCCTCTTACCCTCGATGGCAACACCGCTGGAGAGCCCGTCCCTCGCGGCCAAATAAGATACTCACACGCTACACTATTGGACGGTACTTCAAGTTCTCCGTCTGATTTCAGGTACTTACAAAACAGAACTTTTTGACCGTTTTTAAATCTTCGTGATGAATCTTCAGTAGAACTTTCATTCTCGATCTTCTTTTGGTTGAGCATGTGCAAGACTGTGTTGAGGGTGGTGGGCGTGGCTGGTGCAGAAGTCCTCTGTTGGCTCTCACTGGGGGGAGTGTTGAGGGTGGTGGGCGTGGCTGGTGCAGAGGTCCTCTGGTGGCTCTCACTGGGGGGAGTGTTGAGGGAGGTGGGCGTGGCTGGTGCAGAGGTCCTCTGGTGGGGATCACTGGGCGGAGTGTTGAGGGAGGTGGGCGTGGCTGGTGCAGAGGTCCTCTGGTGGGGGTCAGTGGGCGGAGTGTTGAGGGAGGTGGGCGTGGCTGGTGCAGAGGTCCTCTGGTGGGGGTCAGTGGGCGGAGTGTTGAGGGAGGTGGGCGTGGCTGGTGCAGAGGTCCTCTGGTGGGGGTCAGTGGGCGGAGTGTTGAGGGTGGTGGGCGTGGCTGGTGCAGAGGTCCTCTGGTGGGGGTCAGTGGGCGGAGTGTTGAGGGTGGTGGGCGTGGCTGGTGCAGAGGTTCTCTGGTTGGGCTCACTGGGCGGAGTATGACGTGAATGATTAGTCTTGAAGCTGCCCTGACTAACCTCTCCTCTGCACTCCGACATTGCTTCTCTCTTCCTGAAAGATGACAAAAACATTCTCCTATTTACGGACTTCTGATCCAGGACGTCGCGGGACATGACCAGCTTTGGTCCAGGTCTATCCTTGGATGATTTAGCATCCGGTACACAGGATTCATCGAGGTCCTTTCTATAGTTGGAGATTTTTTTCAGACCGACGGATATCTGTCGAAGGAAGTTGTCCGTTTTGAGGTGTTTTAATTCCAACATGTTGCCGCGATCAACCACATCCGTCGGTATGGAGAGTTGAGGTCTGATCCACTCCTTGGCAGAGCTGCTAATTTTACTGTTTATTGAAAGGTTTTTGGTGTCAATTGCTAGTTTTCTATCGATCGTGCTCACGCGTGACTTGGGAGAGCTGCTGCTGTTTACAGAACATCTTATTGAGCCATTATGGCTCTCAGGTCCGCATGATCCTAGATTCTCAGCAACAGTTGAAATATTCTTAGTATTTGTAAGATATTTACATGTTATATTAGCTGGTTCAGACTTGTTCTTGTTAGTGTTGAGATATTGACAAGTATTACTTGTTGGCTCAACTAACTTGCTCTTGTTAGTGTTGAGATATTGACAAGTATTACTTGTTGACTCAACTGACTTGCTCTTGTTAGTGTTGAGATATTGACAAGTATTACTTGTTGGCTCAACTGACTTGCTCTTGTTAGTGTTGAGATATTGACAAGTATTACTTGTTGACTCAACTGACTTGTTAGTGTTGAGATATTGACAAGTATTACTTGTTGACTCAACTGACTTGCTCCTGTTTGTGTTGAGATATTGACAAGTATTACTTGTTGACTCAACTGACTTGTTAGTGTTGAGATATTGACAAGTATTACTTGTTGGCTCAACTGACTTGCTCTTGTTAGTGTTGAGATATTGACAAGTATTACTTGTTGACTCAACTGACTTGCTCTTGTTAGTGTTGAGATATTGACAAGTATTACTTGTTGGCTCAGCTGACTTGTTAGTGTTGAGATATTGACAAGTATTACTTGTTGGCTCAGCTGACTTTCTCTTGTTAGAGTTGAGATATTGACAAGTATTACTTGTTGTTGGCTCAGCTGACTTGCTCTTGTTAGTGTTGAGATATTGACAAGTATTACTTGTTGACTCAACTGACTTGCTCTTGTTAGTGTTGAGATATTGACAAGTATTACTTGTTGTCTCAGCTGACTTGCTCTTGTTAGTGTTGAGATATTGACAAGTATTACTTGTTGGCTCACCTGACTTGTCAGTGTTGAGATATTGACAAGTATTACTTGTTGGCTCACCTGACTTGCTCATGTTAGTGTTAAGATATTGACAAGTATTACTTGTTGGCTCAACTGACTTGTTAGTGTTGAGATATTGACAAGTATTACTTGTTGGCTCAACTGACTTGCTCTTGTTAGTGTTGAGGTATTGACAAGTATTACTTGTTGACTCAGCTGACTTGCTCTTGTTAGTGTTGAGGTATTGACAAGTATTACTTGTTGGCTCAGCTGACTTGTTAGTGTTGAGATATTGACAAGTATTACTTGTTGGCTCAGCTGACTTTCTCTTGTTAGAGTTGAGATATTGACAAGTATTACTTGTTGTTGGCTCAGCTGACTTCCTCTTGTTAGTGTTGAGATATTGACAAGTATTACTTGTTGACTCAACTGACTTGCTCTTGTTAGTGTTGAGATATTGACAAGTATTACTTGTTGTCTCAGCTGACTTGCTCTTGTTAGTGTTGAGATATTGACAAGTATTACTTGTTGGCTCACCTGACTTGTCAGTGTTGAGATATTGACAAGTATTACTTGTTGGCTCACCTGACTTGCTCATGTTAGTGTTAAGATATTGACAAGTATTACTTGTTGGCTCAACTGACTTGTTAGTGTTGAGATATTGACAAGTATTACTTGTTGGCTCAACTGACTTGCTCTTGTTAGTGTTGAGGTATTGACAAGTATTACTTGTTGACTCAGCTGACTTGCTCTTGTTAGTGTTGAGGTATTGACAAGTATTACTTGTTGACTCAGCTGACTTGTTAGTGTTGAGATATTGACACGTATTACTTGTTGGCTCAGCTGACTTGTCAGTGTTGAGATATTGACAAGTATTGCTTGTTGGCTCACCTGACTTGCTCTTGTTAGTGTTGAGATATTGACAAGTATTACTTGTTGGCTCAGCTGACTTGCTCTTATTAGTGTTGAGGTATTGACAAGTATTACTTGTTGGCTCAACTGCCTTGTTAGTGTTGAGATATTGACAAGTATTAATTGTTGGCTCAGCTGACTTGCTCTTGTTAGTATTGAGATATTGACAAGTATTACTTGTTGGCTCAGCTGACTTGCTCTTGTTAGTGTTGAGATATTGACAAGTATTACTTGTTGGCTGAGCTGACTTGCTCTTGTTAGTGTTGAGATATTGACAAGTATTACTTGTTGGCTCAACTGACTTGCTCTTGTTAGTGTTGAGATATTGACAAGTATTACTTGTTGGCTGAGCTGACTTGCTCTTGTTAGTGTTGAGATATTGACAAGTATTACTTGTTGGCTCAACTGACTTGCTCTTGTTAGTGTTGAGATATTGACAAGTATTACTTGTTGGCTCAGCTGACTTGTTAGTGTTGAGATATTGACAAGTATTACTTGTTGGCTCAACTGACTTGCTCTTGTTAGTGTTGAGGTATTGACAAGTATTACTTGTTGGCTCAACTGACTTGTTAGTGTTGAGATATTGACAAGTATTACTTGTTGGCTCACCTGACTTGCTCTTGTTAGTGTTAAGATATTGACAAGTATTACTTGTTGGCTCAACTGACTTGTCAGTGTTGAGATATTGACAAGTATTACTTGTTGGCTCAACTAACTTGCTCTTGTTAGTGTTGAGATATTGACAAGTATTACTTGTTGGCTCAGCTGACTTGTTAGTGTTAAGATATCGACAAGTGTTACTTGTTGGCTCAGCTGACTTGTTAGTGTTGAGGTATTGACAAGTATTACTTGTTGGCTCAGCTGACTTGTTAGTGTTGACATATTGCCAAGTATTACTTGTTGGCTCAGCTGACTTGCTCTTGTTAGTGTTGAGATATTGACAAGTATTACTTGTTGTTGGCTCAGCTGACTTGCTCTTGTTAGTGTTGAGATATTGACAAGTATTACTTGTTGGCTCAACTGACTTGTCAGTGTTGAGATTTTGACAAGTATTATTTGTTGACTCAGCTGACTTGCTCTTGTTAGTGTTGAGATATTGACAAGTATTACTTGTTGGCTCAGCTGACTTGTTAGTGTTGAGATATTGACAAGTATTACTTGTTGGCTCAGCTGACTTGTTAGTGTTGAGATATTGACAAGTATTACTTGTTGGCTCAGCTGACTTGTTAGTGTTGAGATATTGACAAGTATTACTTGTTGACTCAGCTGACTTGCTCTTGTTAGTGTTGAGATATTGACAAGTATTACTTGTTGGCTCAACTGACTTATTAGTGTTGAGATATTGACAAGTATTACTTGTTGGCTCAGCTGACTTGCTCTTGTTAGTGTTGACATATTGACAAGTATTACTTGTTGGCTCAGCTGACTTGCTCTTGTTAGTGTTGAGATATTGACAAGTATTACTTGTTGGCTCAGCTGACTTGTTAGTGTTGAGATATTGACAATTATTACTTGTTGACTCAGCTGACTTGCTCTTGTTAGTGTTGAGGTATTGACAAGTATTACTTGTTGGCTCAGCTGACTTGTTAGTGTTGAGATATTGACAAGTATTACTTGTTGGCTCAGCTGACTTGCTCTTGTTAGTGTTGAGGTATTGACAAGTATTACTTGTTGGCTCAGCTGACTTGTTAGTGTTGAGATATTGACAAGTATTACTTGTTGGCTCAGCTGACTTGTTAGTGTTGAGATATTGACAAGTATTATTTGTTGGCTCAACTAACTTGCTCTTGTTAGTGTTGAGATATTGACAAGTATTACTTGTTGGCTCAGCTGACTTGCTCTTGTTAGTGTTGAGATATTGACAAGTATTACTTGTTGGCTCAACTGACTTGCTCTTGTTAGTGTTGAGATATTGACAAGTATTACTTGTTGGCTCAACTGACTTGTCAGTGTTGAGATATTGACAAGTATTACTTGTTGGCTCACCTGACTTGTTAGTGTTGATATATTGACAAGTATTACTTGTTGGCTCAACTAACTTGCTCTTGTTAGTGTTGAGATATTGGCAAGTATTACTTGTTGGCTCAGCTGACTTGTTAGTGTTAAGATATCGACAAGTGTTACTTGTTGGCTCAGCTGACTTGTTAGTGTTAAGATATTGAGAAGTATTACTTGTTGGCTCAACTGACTTGCTCTTGTTAGTGTTGAGATATTGACAAGTATTACTTGTTGGCTCAGCTGACTTGCTCTTGTTAGTGTTGAGATATTGACAAGTATTACTTGTTGGCTCAACTGACTTGTTAGTGTTGAGATATTGACAAGTATTACTTGTTGGCTCAACTGACTTGCTCTTGTTAGTGTTGAGATATTGACAAGTATTACTTGTTGACTCAACTGACTTGTTAGTGTTGAGATATTGACAAGTATTACTTGTTGGCTCAACTGACTTGCTCTTGTTTGTTTTGAGGTATTGACAAGTATTACTTGTTAGCTCACCTGACTTGTTAGTGTTGAAATATTGACATTTAGAGCTTGAAGTTGCAGTTGTGTTGCTGTTATTGTCTTGGAGGTAACTGCAAGATATACTTATACTAGATGTAGACAGGTGGCATTCTCCCTTCTGTGTGCCTCTAGTGGCGTTGGCATCGTTGAGGACCTTTCGGCCGTGGATGGTGGAGGTGTTTACTGGATTGTCTTCCTTACCTGGTGGTGAATGATCGAGGGCTGGAAGTGGGGTTTTCCTCTTGTCTTCTTTGTTTAGGAATGTGTCTAATGAGGTAGCTAAACATCTGTTTTGCTCCCCGGGACGCGCCCCGGGAGAGAGAAAGTAATTATCATTCGAAGGTGCTAAGTCAATGCGATTATTTAACAACTGGAATGGATGGGAGGAGAAAGAGCTCGGAGAGGTTGAAGTGGAGGGATGGGGCCCAACCACCTTGACCATCTTGGATTGAACGCCACTTGAACAGTCTGTGGGAGGTCTCATCTCTGTCTTCCGTTCTTGAAGTTGTGAATATCGTCTTGCGGAAGGAGCAGCATCTTGGAGTGATTGGTCTGTGTTGTCAACATCATCAGGTAGTGTTGATCTTGAGTTCTTTATCTCATTATTTCTTTCTTTTAGTAAAAAGTTTGTGGAAACTTGATGGAATTTACGTTTGTCTTTTTCCAAACCCTGATTAGCTGGTGGCGCTCCAGCTGGCGAGGTCACGATGGAGATGGCACCTTTCCCTTGACAACTTTCGCCAGATTTTACTGATAATACAAATAAATTATCATTCTTTGTTTTTAATTCAGATTCAGCAATAAGCGTCGCATTGGTTGTTTTGTTTTCCATTACGAAAGCTTGCAAGATGGGCTTCGTTGAGAGCTTCAGGCTGGTGTGACTCCTGCCAGCGCCAGGTGAAAAGGGCACCACGATCTCTCTGGCCCTCACCAGGTACTGACACACAGGCCTCATGAAGGGGCCACTGAACACCCCGCTGTGGCCAGAGTTCCCGGAGGACGCAGCAGGGACTTGAGTTCTCATCTTCTAGAGGGAGTCAAAGATAGCCTTATTTCACTGAAGTGTTTCGTAGAGTGTCTTGTGATCCTTGAAGACCGTCTTGCGGTCCTCCCAGACCCTAAAGTCAGTATTGCTGAGTTGGTCAAGGATTCGCCCGTCTGTGAGGGCTTTTAGACGCCGCCGGTGTGATTACCTAAAGGTACTGACAGTGGAAGACGACATATACTTGCTACAGCCTTCATTTTATCATTCTTGCCTCATAAGATCCTGAAGAAACCTGAAGCTTTTAGCGTCAGAAGAGTCCATGTAAGTGTCTCGTGGCACGAGGTTCTTAGTGCAACGCCGCGATCGAGCGACTCTCGGTGTCATCTCTCATCATCCTCCGTAATGAAGCGCTCGCGCGAGCCTGGTGAAGACTCATCGGCTCCCGGTAACATAACTGCGATTTTGCACGGCATGTTATACTCCTCTTACTCCTGATGGTCGAGATCTACAACGATACCGTGACGCGTATTTTCTGCAGAGAAGGTTGCTGGAAGTGCGCGGAAAGGGCTTAAGAGATGACGCCCACATATCCTTTTCGCATGTAGTTTGAACTACTTCAAAACATCATGTGTGATATTTAAGGCTCGTTCGTGGCTGTTAAGCTGAGTTGAGGTCTTCACTCTTGCAGCTTTATGGGTCGCTGTGCTTGGTGTATGGGGGGCGTATGTTTTGTCACTCTGTATCAAACTGATCCGTCGCCTTGATAGTCTGTGGTTGACCTGAAAAACAAAATATAATGTAAATGATGAGCATGTTCCCGCACGATCACACTGTTTCCCGCTGCC